TTGAAAAAATCATCATTGTTATTCTTAAACATATCTATCTTTAATTGTGCATTTATTGGGCAAAGGTTACAGCACTATACTCCTCGCGTGTCTCGCTTTCTCTGTGACACCGCGCCAAGACTAACAAAAACAGCGTCAAGTGTTTACCAACCATTTTGTCCCTCCCGGCGTCCAAGGATACACGAAACGTCTGAGCTTAAAAACAGATGGTTATTTTAGTTACGAAGCTAGTATAAATATATATTGTAAATTATATATATATATATAATTGTAAACAGACTGAAGATGTTGATATGAACCTTTTTTTGTAAAAAGAAATGGAAGTTTTGATGAAATTTTATGGAAAATAACCTGTATATACCAGTTCTAATGATATGGTCCGCCATCTTGGATTTTGGCCAATGACGTCATCAAATTTGCATAAATTATGCATTTTTAATTATGAAATTAACATAAAATTATCTGGAATGTTATTAGTATTAGAAACCATGTGTAGCTTGACATAAAACCCATAAAATTCTACTGTTCAAACGAAAATTACTAAATTTAGCAAAAAATGCCTATCAGAAACCCGTTGCCATTCTGTATGGCTTATTCCGTAATCATACAGAATTGGTGCCAACAATATTCTAGGAAAAGTCACCAAGTTTGGCCGTTCTAGCGGTAGCCGTTCAGACGCTACGTGACATCAAAGTTGGCGCGGGCACTTTTACCCCCCCCCCCCCGGTCTAGATAGGGTTAAAAGCATTTCAGGCATGAAAAAAATATGCCCACAAAACACATAACGTTAATCATTGGACTCTATATAATATAGACATTATATATCTAAGATCGATCAGAATTGTTTTTTAATTTAGCTCGAGTTAACCTTCAAACATCCAGAGAACAAAGGTCAATATAAAAATAGAAGTTGTGTCAAGGACAAGGTTAAACTTATCAGACTGATTCGAATTAGGATTAACGATTGCCAAGTGTTTCAAAAACGAGAAAAAACAACGATTAACAGCGGATGAACAACAGCACACACTGTTGTTTTGATATTCAGTATTTAGCGTTAGAATTTAGCTTTTCAGTGTTAGGCCACGTAAATTTTATGGATGACATCCTCCACAGACTCCAAAACTAATGCGAGAGGGCGACAAAAAAACAAGGCGGGCCAAAAAAACCCAACAAGCTTAAGATTCCTATATTTTGACATCATAAACTCTGCTAAACAAGAAATAATACCTATATTGTGCTAACTTTACGGCCAACTATCACAACATCCATCTGGAACTGAAATAGCTTTTAGTGGGAACATATAAAAGGAATGAAATACATCACTGCATCAACGTAAAAGTCAAAACAATATGTCGTCAGTGGCCTTATATACTCCATGTTTTATATCCTATGTGCATTTAGCTCACCTGGGCAGGCATATGCAATAAAGGTTCATTCAATACTACAATAACTGAAAAGCGACAAGACGTTTTGTATAATAAATTACTTATGTGAACTGTATCTGTTCATCAGGTGTTGTTTTGACCTGTACTTAGCCCGGTGTGGCAAAAATGTGCAATAAAGGTCGTCATTCATTCATTAAAACATGAAAGTCGCAATACATTTGAATGAATGAATGAAGACCTTTATTGTAGACACAACATGAGAATATAATAGAATACACATACATTGTCAAGTAACTACGACTAAGTAAATTCTGTTTCTTCTCGTTCTTATAAACCCATTTCAAATTATATTTTTAACATCACTAAGAAACGAGAAGAAGCTAAACCTTTGTATTAGTGTAGTTTTAGAGCTATTTGTACTACAAACATGTATATTACCCTTTCATCTGTTCACCTGTACTTAGCCCGATAGGGCATGAATGTACAATAAAGGTTATTATTATTATTATAATAATGGTAGAAAGGTAAGAACAGGTATGTTTCATAATCGAAGGTATGTCTACTCTCCAAGCAGAGGTTGATGGTGGAAGATCGTTTGCTTTTTATACATTTGTATATGGTCCATTTTTTGTCTCTACCACCTTTTTCACTAGTGGTGGTAGAGACAAAAAAAAAAACGACAACGAACCATACTAGTATATAAAAAGCAAACGATCTTCCACCGCCAACCTCTGCTTGGAGAGTAGGTATGTCTAAGTTCATTAGATATGATATGATATGACATGAATCTTTATTGCATGTTCTTGCCCAGATGGGCTCAATGCACAAGAGGATATCCAGTATGTAAAACATGAGTATTTCATACTGATACGCTATATTATAATGCAATGTGCTAGGAATCTGTACATTACAATAATACTATAAACTACCTATCATCTACTGTTAGTTGCCCTTTCTTCTCTCTTTTTGAAACATTTGGAAACATAATTACATAGTTGGTCTACTGTACATTCGTTCTTATATGACATCAAGTGTTTAAACATGTCCTGCTTTGACATTTTCTTACATATCTTGTCTAATTGTAAAGTATCGAATAGCTCTTGGCGTTCATCTTTATATAATGTACAGTCAAGTAGAAAGTGTATCTCGTTTTCAACATATAAATGATTACAGAATTCGCACGTTCTATCTTTCAGAGGGGTAGGGCTATGCCTGCCCGCCGGATTCTATACGTAAGGCCATGTTGATTTGATTATATGGATGACATCCTCCGGGAGCCCCAAAACTGATGCGCGCGTGCGAATAAAAAAAAGTTTTGCAAAAAAAAAAGTTCTTTTCATTATGAAATCTACGTGGTCATGAGAGTTGAGCAAATGGCACAGAATATGGTTTGGCGAATAATCTAGTCCTCAAGTTCATTTCTTTACAATTTCGTCTTTTTTC